ATGGACAAAAACTACCCACATTTGAACAAGTTGTTGTCTATCATATAATATCCATTTACATAAATAGATTTGTGCAAGTTAATTCCATATAAGTAGCGTTTATTATGGAAATAACATTTCCATTAATGTTTTCATGAGAGGTCTTGTCCACAATCTTCGATAAATAGGAACAACTCGATTGGCCTACTATTCTTTAAAATGTTCGACTTAGCTAAAATCCTTGGCATGAGTTAAATCATGTGAAATTTGACTATAATTTTGAAATTTATATTGTCATTAGTTAAAATGAGAAAAATTGCAATTTATATAACTCTTATATATAATTTTTGAATAACTACATTATAAATAATAGCATATTGAGTAAATTTAATTCAATCTATCTTTGAGAATGAATCAACATATTCTCGAATAAAATATATTGTGTTATATATTCTTAATTCAATGATCATTAGTGAAAATAAAATAAATCTGATAAAGAGGACACATGTAAAAATTTACAAGGGCCAAGAGCTAGATTCATAAACGATCACAAAACAATACACAGTCAATGTATTAAATTTCTCAAAATATTTTATATAAATGACAAAAGTCTAGAGTTAATGTTGAGTAATTATCCTTTTTTGAGCCAGTTTTTAAAATATGAGTTAAATTTAATTAAAATGTAATTTAACATAGTATCAGAATAGATTCTGTCTTATCGAATGTTGAGGTCCCAAATATACTAATTATTTATCCAATAAGTTGTCTAAAACTTTATAACTAAATAAAGAATTGACGTGTGGTAAAGTTATTGGCATGTTGTACTATTAAAGATAGTGAACAGCTGGAGCCTGGAGGAACTGAGAAGTGAGAGCTTACCATCTGATGTGTGCTTTGTTTTGAGTTTTGACTCATGCATTTGCTGCAATTCAATTTAATTAGAAATACAAAACGCGTGCCTATTAATACTTCTCAGTTTTTGGTTAATATTATATACTTACTTTTGACCCCTCTATTCAAACTTGTAACCTTTCAATATCTGCAAAAGCTGCATCCTCTTTGTCCTATTCTCTGGCTGGATAAATCACAAATGTAACATATTTTCACCGACTATGAACAAAATAAATGATTAAATACAATAACAATATCTTCGGTCAAATTAAATCATAAAAATCGATAAACTCTCGCATCTCCGACCAAAAATATGATCCGGAACAAATAGTAATTAGTAAATAATGGAGCACCACTAAAATGATTCGAGATAAAATTAGTTAATTCTTATCTCTCGTAATTTAATGGGGGTTAAAGAGATGAAGATGAGGTGGTCCCCTAGCCAGCTCATTCATTAGTGGAAGTAGTGTGAAAAAAAATACAAGTCAAAGGTGAGTCAACCCATCTGCACTGCAGCATCCTTTCACCCTTTGTGCTCTGATTTTCTGCCCACACTCTTAGCTAAGCTAGTAAGACTAATATTTGCATTTAAAACATTTCGAAAAAGCTATTCACAAACCCAATGTTTTTATTATTACCTTTTCACTTTGTGTATATCCTACAATATTTAATGAAATCGACAACACAAGTTTGAATGTGTATTTAATATGGTCAAATTTTCAGCTAAAATTGGATTTTTGACATACAAAGAGAGTGGATGGGGTACTTAAAAACCGAAATGATGAAAGAATTGATTTTAGGGAATGAATGAATGAATGCACGGAACACTATATAACGGCACGTCCTAAGGTCATTCAAAGACAGTAAACTAATAAGACAAGAAAACGTCCATATTACATACATCTTGAAGCTTCAGTTTCAACCTACTTCTTACAAATATTTAGAAATTAGGAATAAGTAGGCGAAATTAAGATAATTTAGACAGGTAAAAAAAAGTGATAAATGACCTGTGAAATGTTATTTATGGGGAGTTGAAGGAAATGTAGATGTACATTGAAGACATTGAGAAGAGATAATTAATTAAGATATGATACATCTTTAACGGCATGACTCTAGATAAAAGAGATGGTGGTTACGTATTAGGATACACGGAGAAGGGCCTAAAATGCCTCTCAAGTAGGCCCTCAAGTATTTGAATTAATACAAAATTAACCTTCATCCATCTATAGGTCCTAAAATATCCTTGACGTCCACCTCGAGGATATTTTTGAATCAAAAAATGAATGTAAAGGATATTTACGACCGACAGGTGAATAAGGATAATTTTATACCAATCCAAATACTCAAATACACTTCTTAAACCCTTCTCCATAGGATATATAGAAGATTAGACTAAGGTAGTTGAGCATTGGAATATGCTTGGTAGTAGTCTGGTGAATTATATTGTAGCTGTTACTCCTTTCATATCATTGGTAATCACATTAAGTGTTGTAATTTTTTTAAAGTTATTATCTTGTTTTTAATATTCACATTATTTACCGTTATCCTTCTTTTATGAATGCATGTAATGTTTTTCTCATTAGTTGTTATGTCCTTTGTATTTTTTTTTAAAAAAGAATCATTTTGATATGTAATGTTTGAATCATGTAATCTTTCAAACTAATTTTTTTTATCTTTACGAAATAAGAATAAATTTATATACTTTATCCTTATCCGATTCCATCTAAAAACTACACTAAATATGTTACTATTAAAAGTCAACTTATCAAAATAAGACTGAATCTTAAAACAACAACGCCTCCCTAGTTATATAGAAAAACTAAAACTATTGTTGTGAGTATATCCTAGTCTTTTTATATTTAAAATACACATTGTATGAATCAACGACCCAAATTTGAATATTTTGATGGGTACTAAAATAAATATGGTCAAAATTCCTGTTATTTTTTCTTGTCCTTTTATAAGATCAAATTTAATTTGGACATATACATGGATGGGCACTTAAAAGCCGAAATTATTTTCCAAACTTTTTATATCCCAATCAAAGAAATGATTTTGGGAATGAATGCACAGAACACTATACAACGGCCCGTCAAGGAGAAAAAGATAATGAAAAAGAAATGTCATTCAAAGACAGTTTCGATACACTTAAAAAGAAAAACAACTTTAAAGTTAAAAATAAAAACAAAATTAATGATTTTTAAGTTGAAAAAATAAAAAGTTCGAAAAACTTATTTTTAATTTTTAATTTATTATAAGTCATTTTAAATTTATTTTAAGTTATTTTTATTCTTGTCAAACACTTTCTAACTTATTCTAAGTTATTTTTTTAATCAAATACTTTCAAAATAAAAAATTGACTTAAATATATATTTGTCTAACTTTTAAGTCAACCTAAACACCCTCCGAGAGATGAAAAAGGCGCACTCAATGAAAAACATAACGAAGTGACAATATGGCTTCCTTTCCCTTCGGATTCTATCCAAGATTTAAGAGTCGTTTAATAGGATTGTGAGATGTTTTACTAGATTAATTATTTCATTTCTTAAATAAGTTTTTATATAACTATTACTTCAAAATAATTATTTTTATTTTCGTATTAAATGATTAAATCATAACAAAACACTTACATCAATTCAGGATGTGATGAAGTAAATCAAAGGTTCTTATATTCAAATTTCTATACGAACGAAATTAGCTTTGTTAGAAAGCGTCTTACCGAACTTCGCCGGAAATCAGAGCAAACACTCGTACATTTATAGCTCAATTCCAAACGAAGACGACATGCCAAAAAGCGTCACCGTCTTTGATTTGATATCCATGTACATCCACAATACAGTCAAAGTGTGACTGTTATTTTGTCAAAATATAATTGTACTAACTATCCTCCTGCCACATTTTGTTATACCGTGGTCATTCGTGTAGGAATCATGTCAGTAGCCCTTTAAATTAGAATTAAGAAGGGATCCTATTTATACAAAATGTGTTCTGTTATTATGTTATGGATATGATCATTTTATCGTCAAAAGGATTTTTAAATTTGAATTATGAAAAAAATTACTATCACTATTAAAATTTTAAATTCAAACTATGAAAAGAAAAATTTATTATCGAATAGACCAAAGAGTGTTTGCCCGGATCTCGATTAGTGTAGCAAATAAATTTATTTGAATGCATAAAGGGATAAGAAAAGGAGACCCTCTATAAACATAAATGTGATCCTTTCGTGATTTTGAATTTAATTGGTTACTACCAAGTACTAGGGAAAGTTTTCCTATTTAACGGACCCTACAAAATATCCTTGCTAGGGAAAAGAAATTTGTTTAATTTTGATTTATTTTTTGGACAAAAAAATCCAAAATCTATAAATAATATGTTGAATGCCTTGAATCGGACCTGTTATAACAGGGCCCTTAATTATCTGTCAATTCTGTATTTTGAGCCCAAGCCTGTTAGAGTGTAGCTTAGCCTATATATAGACGCTATGGCAAACCCTATTCTGTATTATGTTCTTGTCTCTCCATAATAAAACTATTCTTGTCTCTCCATAATAAAACTATTCCCCCTCTTCACCGTGGACGTAGCCAATTTATTGGTGAATCACGTAAATTTGTTAATCGTGTTTTTCGCGTATTATCTCGAATTACGCGTAACTAAAAAGACAAGTTTTTCTTAAACAAAATATAGCTGTTCAGTTCTTTTGAAAATTACCTCATAATTACTTTTATTTATTAATGACTCCGACTCATTTGAAAAGCATGATTTATCCAACAAAAAGTTTTTCACCGAAAGTGTCGATTTTCACAAGATTCGTAAATATATAATCAGGAAAAAATCAATCCAATAGTTTACAATTTACAAGAAAATAGAACCAACAGTGATTATGTTGTACTCTACTGCATGAAATACTAAAGCTCATTATTTTAATTGAACTTTATTGTAACGCAGATATATACATAATTTACCTAATGCCTTTTTATATAATATATCATCTAATTTGTTATAAAAATAAAAAATTATTTAAAAATCTAATATCAAACGCTAGCTAGTCCTTGTGTAGTGGTGTGCATTAACTGAGAGAAAGAGGGGGTCCTATTAGGAATTTATTTTTATAAAAGCAACCATTGGTTATGTTCTGTTTTTGTTTGAGAGTGCATAGTGAGTGTTGTTGATGGCATGCTTAGAAATGTACAACAAAAATAAGTCATCTACTGACCCAAACCACAACAAATTTTACTCAATGAGTCCTAGAATCTCCTTCTCAAATGACTTCATTGATTCTTCAACTGATTCTTCTCAACACAATGAGAGGAGGGATTCCCATTTCCCTGTTTCCTCTGACTTTGAATTCTCCGTCACTAATTATACCATGCTTACTGCTGATCAACTCTTCTCTAAAGGCAGATTGTTGCCTTTTAAACACACCCACAAAACTACTACTATCAGAGATGAACTTCAAAATGACGATGCTTTTACCTTGACCATACCCAAAACTTCTACTACATGGAAAGGTTTATTAGGAATCAAAAAATCTAAGAAAAAACATGAGAAAACGCCTCATTCTACCAAGGTACCTTTTTTTAAAAAAATTTATTTATGCAAAACGACTCGTTTCTTTTTATATAATTGTCTTGTTTTATAATTTGCAGCAAGGGTACAATGAGTCTGGTAATGGAACAGATATGGACTTCCGTTTTAATTGAAATTGAAACTACAAGGTATTTTGCGGGGATGGCTTTTATGCTTTTTCAGTTTTTCAAGTTTGGGAGAATGGAAGATTCTGATTTGTTTTGCTGTACAACTTCAATTCTTATCATTTTCTACTAGTAGTAGTACTATCTTTTAGAGCAATTGTGTTCCTTTTCTATCATCAATTGTTAAATTTGGGAGATTTTGGCTTTACTTTTGATGAAGCATTGTTGGAATATATCTCTAGGTTGTATAATTTTGAGTTCACAGATGAAATGACAGCTACAAGGGGCATTTCGGCTAAAAATGATTGACAAAGAGTCTATCACTTTTTATTTGTCTGCTGTATTAAAAAAAACATTTTGTTACATCTATTTCTTTTCAGCCTTAATATTTCTTCTTCTAAAACCTAACCTAAGACTAACATTAATTAATATTATTATGGAAAAAAAACCTCATGTGACTTGCAAAGTTCAACTGCAAAATACTAGTAGTACTAAGGTATATTCTTTATTTCCTTCTTGTTCTTCAGCTAGAGTAGTATATTTTTGGTACTAGTAAAAAAAATATATACAGATTAATATTAGAAATGGAAGTTAAGGGGTCAAATGACAGGCTGGATGAGGAAGAAGCACAAAACTCCAAAAGAGATTTCACTTTTACCAATCTGAATCTGAGTCATGAGAATTGATAAATGTGCATTTGAATAGTACATTGACAACATTTATACATATAAATAATACTATTAAATTATAATGTCCATAGCGTGGGAGCTGCCGGTCAAAACGTACTTGGCCGAAGCTTCCTATTCCTATTCACGTTCAACTATAGTACCAAAAAACTCGTTTATTTAGCCTTTTCCAAAATCAAATGAACAGCCAAAAAAAATAATGTTTAGATTAGCAGTAAAATTTATAGTAAAAATAAGTTCACAATAAATAAATTAAGATTGATCACTTCTTTTAGACTAAAACATCAAGATGGATTCCCTGATTTTGGCAAGCAACAAAGTTCTAAATGAATATTTCTCAGTTTAATGTGACTAAATTTCACAATTTCAAACATACTTCCATATTTAACCTAAAGATGTAAAAACAACATACCCATTGCCCAATCTAATCACATATAATAAATGGGATATGAGAAAGTAAAGGATGCAGACCATTCCCTCTGATATACCCTCGATTCAAGTAAAGAGAGCAATTTTTTTCCTCGTCTAATAAGAATATTTTGAAACAGTGACTTAGAATATAGACTACTTGTACACACGAGACACCAGTCCTTGAATTTTTTAGCTAGGTTTTTAGGCTTAAATAACAATAGCAGCAGAATTTAGCAATCGAAAAAAGTAAAATTATCATGTCTTCCTAGCTTGATATTACTACCAAGTACAAACTACTAAGATATACTAACAACATTCTCCCTTTGTACCGTTCCCTCTGATTTGCTGCATACATCATATAATATAGATAAGATTACCATGGAGCATTGACTTCTCCTTGAAACATAAGCTCATAACTCTCAGCTTTTGATTTCAGAGCCTCAACATCAGCAACATATTTTCCAGAAGCTTGTTTCAGTTCCTCAAGTTTCATTTCAAGATTCCGTATCTCATCTTCAGCTCGAGACCATTCCTTTTTAGCGTCCCAGTACCTCTTGGTGTCCGAAGCACCTTCAGAGTCGAATGCAAGACTCAGCAACCAGCGCAGACGAGTCCTCAAAAATCCAACATTCATGCCCAGAAGTTCAAAAGATTTCAGTGACTTCTCCCATTTATCAAATTCCTTCCGTGGGGTGCTGAGCTTGCAGGCTCTTACCATATCGGCAATGTTGACGACTTCAAAAATCATACCAGCAACCAACTTACAATGAAGACCTTGTAAAAGACGATCGTGAAGAAAAGCATTTTTACTGCAGCATAACTCATAGTACTTTCTCCTTATATGTTCAGGAAGTTCAGAGTCTATGCATACTCCATTCACCAGAATTTGGAACTCCTCAAGGCTCTTAATGTCTCTAAAATTAACAGCAAGACCGGAGGACCTTGAACCCTCTAAAATTTCTGAAGCAACCTCATCACTATCATTTCCCGACTGTGCCTCCAATGGCACAAGTTGTTTACTCAGGTCCTCCTTTCGTCTCCTCTTTTGCACAACAGTTAAGGGAAGAGACTTCTTTTGACGCTTCTTTATATTATTACCAATAGCTCCCTCTGACATGCGACAAATTGGAAACAAGTTGTTTAGAAGAAAGACAAAAGACGAAAAACTATATCATGTTTCACAGAATGTTTCGGGTATAAAATTGATTTACTGACCTGCATCACTTTGCTTGGCGGGTGCATCCAAATTTAGAAGGCTAAGAGCGCCATCCACCTCCTTTAGATCATTTGCTCTTATGACATACACCTATGAAATCAGAAACCAAGTTTAGATAATGTTTGCAGCTAAAGATCTGTAGATTTGCAGTTAGAAAACCATTTCTTCAATTTCCAGGTTTCTGCTTCACTTCATGGTGAGCATTCCTACTGAGATGTCCTATATAATATCTGACACTAGGCTTAAGACGAAAACTATCATCACTTGCAACGGAGTTTATCATGCTGTTAACTGGATAACAGTTGATATAATAAAAAGCAACTTTTTGAATAGCCCTAATTCAATCAGAAATTGCCTCTCCAGCCTGCTAAGCGATGTAGTTCCACAAGTTTTTGAATCATCCTCACTGTCGAAATGTTTCTACAGTGTCACTGTTATATACACATGACAAGGACTGCCATGAATTTGTTTATCCACTGTGAAATACATTTTCTATCCAATCCATTTGCTTCACTAAAAGGATGCACTCACTAATAGCTATCCTCTTACTTTTGGTATCTTAAAAAGAATCCACAACATTTGTGGAATTAATGTTTAATCAAGTAAAAAGAACAAGTGCAGACCTGCCCTCAATTATAGGCACCAAAGTAACCAAAAAAGTTAAGATGAAAACATGTGAATTCTACCAATAGTATTTGCCCATATATTTGTTCCTTCCAAAAGATACATTGATAGATACTTGGTTTGAGGACGATATGCACTAACATGGGCTCACAGTGATGTTGATAAGACAGTCTCCAGACACTATCCATGAGGCCTAGAAGTACAATGCTAGGAAACCAGCTAAGCAAGAAATGAACCACAACAAATAGTATGTTCCATCTGGATCCATGATAGGCTAAGCAAATACGTGAGACATGCTCTACCAAGATACCTGCAAACCTTACTATGATGATAGTTCTTTTTACAAACCTATGACACATTAGCATGCCTGCTCTACCATATTTGGACTTGAATAGTTCAGCACAAGGAAAAAAGAGTGTTTACTGCACTTGTGATAATGTCAGTCATCTACTTCCATCCTGTCCAAGCACAATGCCACAAAACTGGTGACCTCAAAATTTGTAGATTACAACTGAAAGAGACTCAACTCTAACAAAGTCTCCCAGGATATATATTAGTATCAGACATACTAGAGTCGAATTCAAGAGCGTCTTCAATATCTTCTTCCAGCATTAATCTACAAGTACCATAATTCTGCCCAAATCTATTGGTTTAACAGAGAACGTGGCCTTCGGATGAGAATAGAACCATTTTAAACTGACCAATTCACACCCCTGTTGCAGAATCTTCATCGACGTGCAGATAAGTTGGTTTAACATGATGACGTCACTCTGATAGACCATGAAACGGGAAAAACAAAATCGACCCACAAGTAACCATAGTTATCTGCTACACTTCTGTACAAGTAGATAAACTAATACGGTAGCAAGCTGAGTCAAAGCATGTTAAGAAAAGAAATTTGGGAGTGTCACCTTGAATCTAGTAGGCTCGACAAGTTGAAAAACTAAAACATCTCCCTCAACCAACTTGTGAGCAGCAGCATACTTTCTCCATCCTGCACTAAGTCCGGTCTTTTCAGCAATGTACTTTATTTCAAACTCTTCTCCAGTCTCACTTTCAAGAATAACCGGAGTGTCCTTTCTTGGAAGATGGTTCTTGCAGAATGGCACAGGAAGCCCCTGTTTGTATGGACAATATAAAACAAAAATTAGAGGATTAAGTAAATAATTACTTTGCTAAATCAAAAGTTAAGTTGCTTAGACAAAACTTACCATCCAAAAACAACTACCGACATGTGATCTAACTAACAATTTCATGAAGCTGGGATATTCATTTCCAATACTTAACAGGAACTCCTCTGCTCGAATGATGATTGGTGATTTCATTTGGGTAGCACTTCCAGACCCATCAGCTGTAGCTCTCTCTAGTTTGGTGCTTCAAGATAAAAGCAAATAACTGTCACTCTCAAAAAGCGAAGGTTCATAATTATGCAAGAATAACCAAAGATTGTTTTCTACTGAAAGACTGACCTAATTGACCTGCATCCAGCAACAGCTACTCCCTGCTCAAGGATAAGAGGAACAGCAACAGAGATGTTAAAAGTAATTTCTTGGTAAAAGTACACAGTCATGGAATGTGACAAAAACTATAGTGTGTTAGAAATTTGGTAAGATCACAATTATGTTCTGAATCTAAAATTGGCATAACCAAAGTATCTCCTGAAATACAGTGTAAATGGCAAATGCAACAGGAAGGAAAATGATTATATCTCATAAAACCAGAAAAAGGATTACTACCATGCAAACTAATGAGTTATTTGGCATCACGAAACCAGCATGAGCTTTAGTAGAATGCAGATTATACCTTTAATTTAAATCTTAAATTTTGTGTAGTAATGATAACTCATTTTATTTATTCAAAATAATACTTGGCAGACAACTGAAAGAGCCTTTCCTCCCACTAGAATATTTGCCAATGCGAGTAATCTGAAGTCACTCTTAGGCCTAGACTAATCTTAGACTCCTAGTTTGGAAAATGCAAGTTGTTTATGAATTTGAATAAGCTTTGAGTCAACCCTGATTGGTTCCATCCATGCTGTACTCAGCTGTCACAACTATTTTCTCTAGTTTCATCTCCTCTTATAGCTAATTGTCTATATTTTTTTATGCTCAATCTTTCAGTTTCAGTCTAAAAGGAAAGCGAAGTGACTATCTCAATTTTTTAAGTGAATCTTACTATCTCAAGGAGCTTAGCTTTTAAAGGACTCTTAATAAAGAAAGCTTTTTTTTAAGAAAGCAATCCTTTCCCATTATTTCATCCCATTGATACAGATAGGGGACTACCTGTGGGGCTTTATTCGATGGACTGCCGGCTGGGGGTTGGACGAGTACTCACTTCTACTTTAGGAACTCTACATCATATTACA